ACATCTTCTGGTGAGAGAAGCCCAACAAATCAGGGTGGGAGAGAGCCCTTGTTGATAAGCGACCCCGAAGCATGCTCATGCACTCAAATGCCACTGTGGCCGGGCAGGGACACGGGGAGGGGCCATCGCTCAAACGGCAGCTGCTCTGTAGCTCTCACCAGCTGCTGCCATGTGAGAATGCAGGCTCGGTGTTGCAGTGTCTTTTATTTTTCATGAGAAGTCAGAAAACTGGGTTTTTATGTGAAACCTCCCAGTTTTAAAATCTTGGCTACTGGTAAATTCTCACACAATTTGTGCAGCTGCCATATGGTGGCCCCTGCCTGAGAGGCCTGCCCGGGGTAGGTGCTCAGTGCAAGGGCATACTCACCTTACCACAAAGTCTTGGCCAGCAGCCATGCCTTCTTTTTCCCCTCTGTCTTCTCAGCTTGGAATCCCTCACTCCTTTGCACTGATCAGCTATCAGCACAAATTCCAGGATGATGATCAGACTCGCGTGAAAGGATCCCTTAAGTAAGTTCTGGCCTGGCTGACCCGAAAGCATGCCTGGTCTGTGTGGGGGTTTCTGATGGTGGAGCCCATGGGTGTAAGATGCCTGCTCGTGTTGATCTCTCGTGAGATCACTTGAGCGCCCCCTATTGCGAGGCAATGGGACCTACCACTATGCATTCCCCGTCCTTGAGGGACTCGGAGTCTAATGGAAGAGCTGGACTGAGGTTGCCAGTCAGCCCCTGGGGGGGTGGGGAGGGCAAGGGAAGGATGGGATGGGGGACCTAGCCTTTGTTCTGAGTGACAGTAGCCTGTGGTGAACGGGAGGAGTCGGGAGCTAAGGGGCCCTTGCTTGCTCACCGCCATCTGCTCCTGCAGGGCAGGCTTCTTCGGGACGGTGGTGGAGTACGGGGCAGAGAGGAAAATCTCCAGGCACAGCGTTCTAGGCGCAGCCGTCAGCATTGGAGTCCCACAGGGCGTTTCTCTCAAAGTCAAGTAAGTTGAACTGGATATTTCTGGCCAAGGATTATCTGGCAACTTGTAACTCAGCGGGGCATCGCCTAAGTTAAAGATGAATAGACTTCGCTCTGAAATTTTGTTCTTAAAGATGCAGTTGCTTCTGTCTTTCATCTGTAAGCAAATGTCAAGGAGTTCATTAGCCCAACATTCAGGTAGTGAGGTCTGAGTCTCTGCGTTTAGAGAACTTCCATCTGCTCTACCAGCCCGTCTTCCACCCTGCCTGCGTCCCTTAACTACCCTCTGCCTTCCCTGATGGCCCCGCATGCCCGCTCACCGACAGTGCTCCGGCAGTTTGCACACACACAGTGTCATCATCAGCGCATCTGCTCTGAATTGCTGCAGGATCCTGACTGATCCTGCAGCCCCTGTAACACTGCTCTCCAAACAGGCAGTCTTCTGACAGTGTAAGTCAGCGTCTCTCACCCTTCTGAAAACCCTCAGTGACTCCCTCAATTCAGGGCAAAAGCCAGACTCCCTCAGTGCCCTCCACGATCTAGCCTTCTCACCCCCTCTTCCCCGCTCCGCCCTGTGCTCCCTCCACTCTGGCCACACTGGCCTCCGAGCTGCTCCTCGAACACACCAAGCCCACTTCTGCTTCCAGACTCAGCATTTGCTGTTCTCAGTCCCCAGGTAACTACGGGGCTGGTTCCTTCGTTTCCCTCAGGTCTGTTCAAATGTCAGCCAGTTGCCGAAACCATCCCTCCTCCCCCTGCGTAAAACAGCAACCCCTCACCTTGCCCCAGGCCTTCCCTTTCTCCTTTACTCTGTTTATTATTCTGCTTTGCACCCATCTCCGTCTGCTCTTCATCAGAAGCTCTTTAACTTAACATTTTATTCTTTCTACTACTAGAACCTGGAACACAGCCTGGCGCTTAAGAACTCAGTGAGTGAGCGAGAGAGAGAAAGAGGAAGCAGATGCCATCTCAGTGTTGGAGATGAGAACCGAACTAGGTTATCAAGATCAGAGCTGGCATCAGGCATCTCTCCTGTCAGATAACATTTGAGAATACTTGAGATTTAATAAAGAGCATACAGAGAGCTATCAGATTTTCTGCATTCTAATCCCTTTTTTTTCCACCCAAATTGGGACCACTAATGAGGCACCGTTCTCTGTGATTCAGCCTTTATTTTTAAACACTTCTCCTATGCAGATGTTGCATGATATAATCTGAATTGAATTCTAATCCAAAGAATGCCACTCTGCCTCCTTGGAAAGAGAGACACTCATTTCAGCTGAGTTTCCTGTGTAATAGGCTGAATTGTCCAAATTGTATTGGTATATAAAGCAAACTTTTGCCAGAAGGCACCAGAGTTCAGCGATAGTAAATGATCTTACTTTGCTAGCCTTTCTCTTATATTCTGTTTATTTGATGAGTCACAGCAATTTTTTTTTCCTTTTTTTGGAAGATTAGCCCTGAGCTAACTGCTGCCAATCCTCCTCTTTTTGCTGAAGAAGCCTGGCCCTGAGCTAACATCTGTGCCCATCTTCCTCTGTATGTGGGACGCCTACCACAGCATGGCTTGCCAAGCGGTGCCATGTCCCCACCCGGGATCTGAACTGGTGAACCCTGGGCCGCTGAAGCGGAACGTGCGCACTTAACCACTGCGCCGCCAGGCCGGCCCATAGTCACAGCAATTTTTGAATGTTAAACCAACCTTTCATTCCCGAGGAAAATTCCACTTGATCATGACATGTAATACTTTTTATATATTTTTTAAAATTTGTATACTTTTTAAAATATTTTTTTGTATTTTATACTTTTTTACTTTTCATTTATATACATTTAATACTTTTTTATATATTGCTTGATTTGATTTGCTAATAACTTATTAAGGATTTCTGCATCTATGCTTATAAGGGATGCTGGTCTATAATTTCCTTTTTTACTATGTATTTTTCAGGCTTTGGAATGATAAAATAAGTTAGGAAATGTTCCTTCCTCCTCTCTTTTTGGAAAAAATTTGTGTAAGATTAGTATTATTTCATCCTTGTTTTATAGAATTCACCAGTGAAATCAGCTGAGCCTGAATTTTCTTTGTAGGAAGGTTTTTGATAATGAATTCAATTTCTTTTGTAAATTCTTTTCCATTTTTTTGTTTCATCTTATGTCAACTTTGTTAATTTGTTTTTTTCAAGGAAGTTGTCCATTTCATCTAAGTATTGGATTTTTTAGCATAAACTTATTTACCGTATCCTGTTATCCTTTTAACATCTATAGTCTCTGTCGATGCTCTCTGCCTTCGTTCCTAATGTTGGCAATTTGTGTTCTTGCTACCTTTTTCTTAATTAGTCTGGCTAGGGTACTTAACATTTCGAAGAAGCCGCTTTTGGCTTTGTTAACTTTCTCTATTGTTTTTCTGTTTTCTAGTTCATTGATTTCTGATCTTTAATATTTCCTTCTTTCTACTTATTTTGGTTTTACTTTGCTTCTCTTTCTAGCTTTTTAAGTTCAGACTTTAGTTTATTAATTTGAGACCCTTTTTCTTTTCTAATGTAAACATGTAAGGCTGTAGATCTCCCTTTAAACACTGCTTTACTTCATCCCACAAATTTTGATATGTTGTATTATCATTATCATTCAGTTCAAACTATTTTCTCATTTCACTTTTAGAAATGTATTGCTTAATTTCCAAATATTTGGGTTTTTCTAAATGTCTGTTTATTGTTTTCTAATTTAATTTCATTTTGGTCAAAGAACATATTCTGTATGATTCCAGTCGTTTTAAATATATTGAGCCGTCTTTTGTGGCCCCACATCGATCTTGGTGAATGTATCATGTGCACTTGAAAAGAATGTGTATTCCGGGGGCTGGCCCCGTGGCCGAGTGGTTAAGTTCGCGCGCTCCGCTGCAGGCGGCCCAGTGTTTCGTTAGTTCGAATCCTGGGCGCGGACATGGCACTCCTCATCAGACCACGCTGAGGCAGTGTCCCACATGCCACAACTAGAAGAACCCACAACGAAGAAGACACAACTATGTACCGGGGGGCTTTGGGGAGAAAAAAAAAAAAACGAATGTGTATTCCACAGTTGAGAAATGAGGATTAAAAATCTCCAGCTGGCCTGATCGCACAGTGGTTAAGTTCGCACGTTTCGCTTCAGCGGCCCAGGGTTCACCAGTTCAGATCCCAGGTGCGGACCTGCACACCATTTGTCAAGCCGTGCTGTGGCAGGCTTTCCACATATAAAGTGGAGGAAGATGGGCACAGATGTGAGCTCAGGGCCAGTCTTCCTCAGCAAAAAGAGGAGGATTGGCAGCAGATGTTAGCTCAGGGCTAATCTTCCTCAAAGAAACAAAAAAAATCTCCAGCTATGGCTGTGCAATTCTCTATTTCTTCCTTTGTCAATTTTTGCTTCATTTTTTAAAAAATTTGTATTTTATTTATTTATATTTTTTGATGAGGAAGATTGTCCCTGAGCTAACATCTATGCCAGTCTTCCCCCATCTTGTATGTGGGACGCTGCCAAAGCATGGTTTGATGACCAGTGTGTAGGTCCCACCTGGGATCTGAACCCATGAATCCCAGGCTGCCGAAGCAGAGTGTGTGACCTTAACCACTATGCCACCAGGCTGGCTCCCGTTTTTTTCTTTTTATTGATAGCAATACTCTTTGTCTTGAAGTCTGTCTGTTATTAATATAGCTACTCTAGCCTTCTTATGTTTATGTAGTTTATCTTTTTCTGTCCATTTATATGTAACCTATCTCTGTGTTTCTATTTAAACTGTCTCTCATAGACAACATACAGTTGGATCTTGCTTTTCCATTCTTATGATGCATGCATACAGTTTCTTGCTTTTTACTTGGAGTGTTTAGTCCATTCACATTTAAAGTATTTATTGGTATGGTTGCATTTAGGCCTGCTGTTTTATTATTGGTTTTCTATTCTTCTGATTTTTTGGTCATCTACCCATCCTCTTCTGCCTTCTCTTATATTAATTCTTTTTAGCATTCCATTTTAATTTGTCTGTTGACTTTTTCGCTATACTTCTTTGCATTTTTTTTCAGTGGTTGCTCTAGAGATTACAACACACATTCTTAACCTTTCATCATCTATTTAGGCTTAATATTGTACCACTTCATGTAAAATGAAAGAACCTCAGGAATATCTAGACCCAGTTTCCCCTCACCGTGTCCTTTATGCTGTAGTTGTCATGATTTATTACATCTGCATATGTTATAATCCCCACAAGTGTTATAATTTCAGCTTTAAATTGTCATGTTAAAGAACTTAAGGAGAGAAAAGTCTGTAGTTACTCACTTTTTTTTTTTTAAACCTTTTCCAAGGTTCCTTATTCCTAAAAATCCTGAATTCCTTTCTGGTATTGGTTTCTTTGGCCTAAAAACTTTCATATGGTGTAGGTCTGCTAGTGAAGACCTCTTAGTATTCTTTATCAAGAAAATGTCTTTATTTTTCCTTTATTCTGCTCTTATATTGTATTAGTTTATTTTATCTATATGCGTTATTTTATTTCTATTTTATATTAACCAAAAGTATTTCAGTTATGGGCCTTCCTGCTCCAGAACTAAGCTGCTGTCATTGCTGTAATTTTTAAATTCAGGTCTATTAAAGTAAAATTTATTGGTTTTTTTGGGGTTTTTTCTTTGTTTTTGTTTTTGTTTTTTTGAGGAAGATTAGCGTGATTCGTATTTCCCTAAATGTCTAAGATGTTGCAGCTTTTCATGTGCTTATTTGCCATCCATATCCTTTTTTTAGTGAAGTCTTTATTCAAATCTTTTGTCTGCTTTGTTATTGGGTTGTTTGATTTCTTTTGAGTTTTGAGTGTTCTTGATCAATTCTGGAGTTGTTTTTATTACTGAAGGATATTGCCCCTGGATGTAGAATTCAAGGTTCACCGGATTTTTGTTTCAGCACTCTAATGATGATCATCTTCTGTCTTCCGGCCTCCATTGTTTCTGATGACAAGTCAGTGGTCATTGGAATCATTATCCCCCTGCATGTAATGTAATGTGTCATCGTCGTCGTCGTCTTCTTCTTCTTTTTTTTTTTTTTTTTTTTTTGCTGAGGAAGATTTGCCCTGAGCTAAGATCCATTGCCAATCTTTTTTTATTTTTTATATGAGCCACCACCACAGCATGCCTGCTAACAGACAAGTGGTGTAGGTCCGTGCCACGGATCCAAACCCGGGCCACCAAAGTGGAGCACGCTCAACTTAACCACTAGGCCACCAGGGCTGGCCCTTTTTTTTTCAGTGGTTTAACTGCAGTGTACCTACATTTGGTTTTTGTTGTATTTGTGCTGCTTGGGGTTTGCTAAACTTGCATGTGTATATTTTTATTCTACATCAAATTTGGGACTTTTGGGGCATTAATTCTTCAAGTAAATATTTGTTACTGCCCCATTCTCTCCTCTCTGGGGCTCTAATTACTCATATGCGAAACCTCTCGATGTTGTCCCACAGGCTTTTGAGGCTCTGCCCATTTGTCTTTGGTTCTTTTTCTCTTTTTTCTTCATATTGGATAATTTCTGTTGATCTGTCTACAAGTTCGAACCCTTCTCCCATCTCCAATCTGCTCTTAAGCCCATCCAATGAATATTGTGTCTTTGAGCGTAGTTGAAATAGCTGCTTTAAAATCCTTACCTGCTCGTTCCCACATCTGAGTCACTGGCGTGGGTCTCTGTTCCTTCCTCCTCTCTTGTTGTATCTAGATATGTAGAGTAGTTTGTATTGGATCCTGGGTATTGTAAATAATACATTGTAGAGACTCTATCTTCTGTTATGTTTCTCACAGAAGTGTTGACTTTCCCTTTTAGAAGGTAATTTAGAGGTTAAACAGACTCATCTGTGTGGCAGCAGCCTAAACACAGCACAATTATTTTCCCCTTCGCTAGGCCATTGACAGATGAGGGATCTACTGGAGGTCTGTGCCACATTTATACACAGAACTTGGAGCTCTCCATCTCTGACTTTCATTTTTGGCGACCCCCTGTTTCCCAGCTGCTGTGATTGCCCCAAACTCTAAGCTCGGGCTCTTTGATCTAGTAGGGCTGCAGATTTCTTTGCAGTTTTAGTCATCCATGTGGTACAGACTGAAACTTGCCCCCAGGCTAAAAGCTGTTAAAAAACAAAAACAAGTGTGCTGGGGGGACCATAGCTGGTGTACTAAATTAATGCTGTATAGATTATGACCTGCCAAATGAGGAGACACAAGCCATCCACATGGGGTCAGCAGGTAGCTCCCTCTTTGGGGAAGTGAAACCCATGGAGTCGTTTTGATTTTGTGTGTGTGTGAGGAAGATTGGCCCTGAGCTAACATCTGTTGCCAGTCTTCTTTTTGCTTGAGCAAGATTGTTGCTGAGCTAACGTCTGTGCCAGTCTTCCTCTATTTTATGTGGGATGCTGCCACAGCGTGGCTTGACAAGTGATGCTAGGTCTGTGACCAGAAACTGAACCTGTGAACCCCAGGCTGCTGGAGCGAGCGCACAAACTTAACCTGCTTTGCCACCAGGCTGACCCCCAGGGGTTGTCTTGATTGAGGGCGCAGTTTGAATACGCTCACACAAAGGAGGTAGAGTCACAAGATGTATTACTTACAGATCCCAGACGTCGGGGGTGGGCAGTGAGCCGGGGGAAGAGCAGTCGGGAGCGAGTGAGCAGGAGGTAGAGAGCAGGGTAGCAAGCACCTGTTGCTTGTAAGGTGGTTGGGGCGGAGGTCGCTAGCAGTTTGCAGGCTCAACTCTTAAGTGGTTATTTTAAAAGGGGCCCCAGGAAAAGCAAAGCAGGAACTTATGGTGAGAATCCTAAGCTCAGGTTCTTATCTAAATGTCCAGACTCTGTGTGAGCAGAGTTGTGATAGTGTGAAACGTCGAGGCAGCAACTCAGAAAAACAACAGGAAACTCACCAGTGCCATTCCAGTCTTCTGAATTTCAGCCCTCCTTTTGTACGCTTGCCTTTGGTTGCTGTCCAGGACCTGAAGGTCTTTGTTCTATGTGGTGCAGACTTCACTGCTATCTGTGGGGTGATTGGTCCAGTGGGAGCTACTCAGCCATACTGGAAGCAGAACCTCCTTATTGCCTAACTTTGGAGATCTTCACACACTTCTTTCAAACAGATAAATTGAGGCCTGAGATAGGACTCTGTCTCGACAACAGCTGGAGGAGTGTCCGCTCCTGTCTTCTAAGGCCACATTTGCTCTGGTCAAGCGTTAGTCTGTTGTTTTGCCCTTGAGGTTAGCAGGTGGTGGGACCTTTCTTCTGTCACGTACATCAAATCCAGCAGCTAAACTGTGGAACAGGGAACAGCAAAGAGGAATGGATTATGAAAGAAGTAGACTTCAGGGTTCCTTCTCACTGGTCTTTTGTCTTCTGCGAGGTTCCCTTCCTGTGGCTGAGACCCACATTACCCTTCCCTGGAAACCTGACTCATCTTGGCTGTTTGGTTTTTTTCTTTTCAGGTTAAACAGGGCCAGTCAGACTTACTTCTTCCCTATTCATCTGACGGATCAGCTTCTTCCCAGCGCTGTGTTCTATGCCACCGTGGGGCCTCTCGTGGTCTACTTTGCCATGCATCGTCTGATCATCAAACCATACCTCAGGGCTCAAAAGGAGAAGTGAGTGTAAAACGTGTCACGGGCATGTCCCTAAACACCTCTGTGCCTCAGTTTCCTTATCTTTAAAATGGAGATGATAATAATAGAAGCTACCCCATAGGGTTATAGAAAAATTAAATTAATACATGCAAAGTGCTTAGCATAGCATCTGGTCCAGTAAGTACTCAGTAAATGTTAATATTTATTATCATTGGTGGTAGTCCTACTGTTCCCTTCATCTGTTATCCCTACTTTCGAGAAGGAGTAGAGTGAGTTCACAAAATTGTCAAGACTGTAACCATGACCACAAGAAATAAGAAGTTTTCCTTTTTCTCACTCTGACCATTTCCTTTCCTGGCACTCAGTTCAGGAGGAATGAGTTCTGAGTTCTTACATACAGGGCGTGCATCATATAGTCGTAGAAGTCATAGAAATATAATTTATTTTGCAGTTTCTTATAGATAATCCATTAGGGCATGACATTAAATCTGAGAGGTGGTTTAGATTCGTTGCTTTATAATAATCTAATTGAATAAATCATTGAGCTTAGAAAATCTGGGAGAAAGGAATGAATCTCCTTTTTAGGGCCCCTCTAGACTTTGAATCATTAGAATTCAGGGTCCTAATTTCTCAGGGGCTTGAAGCTTGGCACAAAGAATGTGCTGGGTCAAGTTTTCTGACAGCAGGTACATGCTGCCCCAGAGCCCCTGTGCTTTGCTAAGAGGAAGGTATATTTACGTATCTAAAGTGGTATGCATTATCCCTACCAAGAATGTTAAGGAATCGCCCCAGAAGGTTGGCGGCCCCTCCTCTGCCTCTCGCCTTCTCTGACCGCTCACTCTCCTGAGAGGCCTGTCAGCTGGAGTCTTCTTCCCACAGCAGTGGGCTTCCTGTCCCCTCTGGTGAGGAGGTAGGGAGAGCCATCTAGGACCAAAGGAAAGCTGCACAAGCCTGTGACTAGCAGATTTGCTTGAGATTGTCTTGGAAATATTTGTTGAAGTTCTAGAACTAGGAATGCAGGAGGATCACAGACTGTGTGCTGGGCGCAGGTCCAGCGAGGGGTTCTGTTGCCTCACTGCTGGGTTACAACACACTTGTGTGTGCCTTGTGTTTTTCTCACATAAGGGAGTTGGAGAAGCAAAGGGAAAGCACGGCCACCGACATTCTGCAGAAGAAGCAAGAGGCAGAGGCCGCTGTGAGTGCCGTGTCGCTGCCACCAGACGTGAACAGAGTCCTTGTGCTCTGTGTGAATCGCTGAGAACGTTCCTGCACTGTCGTGCAGAGCTCACACTGCAGTGCCCGCTCCTCTCTTGCCTAGTCCACATTTCGTAAACTGGGGCTGTGGGAAAATACTTCACACTCTGCACATTGGTCTCAAGGGCTGTAGGTGTCAGACTTTTCTTCCCCAACAAGTTCATTGGTCATTTTAGTCTGTACATTGCTTATGGGATGCAGTACTGGGAACTGCAGCCCCTGTCCTAGAGATCAGATACACTTACCCTCAAAAGGCAGAACAAGCTTTATTAAAAAGTGGTGGGTGGGGCTGGCCCCGTGGTGCAGCGGTTAAGTTCGCATGTTCCGCTTCGGCGGCCCGGGGTTTGCCAGTTCGGATCCCGGGTGCAGTTATGGCACCACTTGGCAAGCCATGCTGTGGTAGGCATCCCACATATAAAGTACAGGAAGATGGGCACGGATGCTAGCTCAGGGCTAATCTTCCTCAAAAAGATAAAGGGGGGGGGCGGTATTTTCCTGTTTATCTTCCCTTTAAGTGAATTGTTTTCATGTGACATAGGATAACAGAGCTATCCAGGGTCAGTGACTGTCCCTTCAGGGGAAGGGCTGAAATGCACCCAGGCACATGGCTGTGGCTCTGAACAAAAGGGGCGGAGCCCACTGCGGTCCTGAGGGCGGCCATCCTTGTTCTTTGCAGGTTCGGTTGATGCAGGAATCTGTCCGAAGAATAATCGAGGCAGAAGAGTCCAGAATGGGTGAGAAGGCATGGTCTCTCTTGGGATGGGTGGGCGCTGGGGTTCTCAAAGGAGCACACCGCTCCTGCTGTCCAGCTGCACGGGGGTGCCTGCCGCAGCCCGCCCCTGCTCTGACTGAGCCTATCCTCAGGGCTCATCATCGTCAACGCCTGGTACGGGAAATTTGTCAACGACAAGAGCAAGAAGAGCGAGAAGGTGAAGGTGATTGATGTGACTGTGCCCCTGCAGTGCCTGGTGAAGGACTCAAAGCTCATCCTCACAGAGGCCTCTAAGGTACAGCGCACGTGTGCCCACAGGATTCAGACAGAAGAGGCGCCTGGGGAACAGGGGTGCCTGGCCCCTTGGAATGGCCACTTCGTTGCAGTGGAATCCTTCATGTTGCTGACAGTTGCTGTACCAAGTTATATCCACATTGGAGCTATTTACTTCATCCATTCATCCATCCATCCATGTGCTCAACAAGCATTTATTGAGCACCTACTGTGTGCCCGGTACAGCAGCAGTGCATACTCTGCCTTCACGGAGCTTACATGCTGTTTATTCCTCACCATGCTCCAGAAAGAGTGTGAAGTCGCCTGTAGCACATTAGAGGCTCACACTGGAGCCTGGGGCACGGATGATAAAGGCGAATTAAAATGCAGATTAGTTCGGGCACTGAACTCCACTCCGAGTTCCCTGAGGAAGTCCACGTGGTGGGGCTTCCAGAAGACAGGCGGATTTAGAGTGGGGGATGGGGCCACTATTGAGGGGGAAGTCTAGAACCAAACAGGCAGCTTTTTGGAATTCTCATTTCTTTTTCCTCAAGCTCCAAAGTTTGCCTCTTTCACAGGCAGCTCCCAAGGGCAAGTCAAGGCCCTTCTTCCACACTTCACCTTCAGGTGGCAGCAGACAGTAGTGGTGCCAGGTTTTTCAGGGCTGTCTCAAGTCGTCTTTCCAGTAAGCATCTGTGTGTTACAGGCTGGGCTGCCTGGGTTTTATGACCCATGTGTGGGGGAAGAGAAGAACCTGAAAGTGCTTTACCAGTTCCGAGGGGTCCTGCACCAGGTGATGGCGCTGGACAGTGAGGCGCTTAGGATACCAAAGCAGTGTGAGTAGCTGTCCCTTTGCAGTCACATGCCCTGTGCATGGACAGGGAGAGGCCTGCGGCCACTGATGGGGACGGGGACGTCAGGGTGTCGGGCAACAACCGTCTTCCCTCTGTATCCAGCCGGGAGCAGGCAGGCTTGAGAGTCACGACTTGCTCAGAGCCCACAGTTTGTTGCCCACAGGAGGGGGTGTCGGGCCTTTCCCGGGTGGAGTTAGAGTGAGCTCTTTGCTTGGAAACTACAGCGTGGGTGGCTGGGTATGAAGCAGACCCAGCTGCTCCTTTATGTTCTAGAACCAGCTGATTCTCGGCACCTTGTATACTGCTACTCAGCCATAGGCCAGGCAGCCTCTGGTCTGGTGATGGCTGAACCCCTTACGTGGAAAGAGAGTCTAGAAACAGTTGCCTTTTGATACACTGAGTTTGTCTTTTCTTTTACAGCCCACAGGATTGATACAGATGGATAAACTACTTGAGAAATCAGATTAAAAAGAGGCTACAAAAAATCTTTTCCTGGGAGTCTACAAATTTGGAAGCAGGGAAAAAACCCAGACATCAGATCTGTTTATTTTATATTATTCCTATAGAAGGTGGTACCATATAAATTATGTGAAGGGACACACAGGCACCCCGCTCTCCTGGGTGCTGTAGTCAAGACTGAGGCGGCCCCACCTGGACCAGAAGTGCAGCACCGCAGCTCAGCCTGTGTCTGTTTTCCCAAGGATCATGTCCCTGCAGGGAAGGGCCGTGGGCCCCGGACGCCTCCAGGTCCCTCCCCAGGTTCAGGGCACGTGCTGACTGCAGCCCCCAGTAGTTCGTGGTCTGTCTTGAGGCGTTTGTGGAACATCTTGCCCTCAAACACAGGACCGTGAACTGCTTTTCCTGAAATCCACACTGAACGTGGAAAACAACATGGAAAAGGAAGGGAAGAAGGAAGGAGCTCTCCCGAGCAGAGGTCTCCAGAGGAGTGAGCATCTGTTCCATCAGCTTCTGAAAACCACCTTTTCCTGCTGAAATATTACTAAGTGAATCTGGAGAGGATTGTGTGGGTTTATAAATTTGCTTTTTATCTGATAACGAATGGTTTTGGAAATTAGTCCTCCCCCCCGCCCGACTCCAGAACTTCTTGAATCATTCCACTAGCACCTGGTTTGGGTCAGAGTGGTGTAACTCCGGGTCCAGGGCCCATCCCTGTCACTGGTCACTCCCTTCCAGAAGCCACCTGTATCCTTGTGGGAAAAAGCAGATGAGAACCAAGCCATGTCCTTCTCAGCCCGCTCCACACGGCTCAGCCTGACCTGCCCGTGCTGGTCACACTAGAGTGCAGTGTTGGAATGAAGAGGTTCAGGGCAAGAAGGGAGGCTGAGTTGGGGTGAAAGGACCAGGGCGCAGACAGGTGCCAAATCCCAAGCCCAGGAGAGCCGCGCTGGCCTGCGCCTCACTCACTTGTGGCCAGCAGGTGTCGCTGCTGCTCCCCACCTGTCAGGTCCAGCTCCCGCCTCACAGGGGCCTCCTTTCTGGGCGTCTGCTCCCAAGACCCTCTTCTCTCACTTGCCTCTTCTGTGGCTGCAGACTGTTGTAGGAGCCAGGACACTCCTGAACAGCCTGATCTGTTAACTGGGAAACAGTTACCCAGTGAGCACAGGCCCTGGATGGTGGTGGTTCTGGCAGCCCCCCTGCAGCTATTGCTAAATGAGGCTTCATTCCTTGGCATTGGTACCCGAGTAACCTCTAATGACCCCCTCCCTCCAATTTTTAAAAACAGGTCACGTTGCCCAATTCTGTAA